GGAAAGTGTGAAGGAGCAGCCCAGAGGGATGCAGAGGCATAACATTTTTTTAGGATTCCTGAAGTGAGATATTTTTGTGCTTTTGGAGTAAGAGGCCAGTTGGAAACTAGCCACTACAGGTCCTTGTCATCCCCACATTAGAGGGAATGTCCTTTCAAAAGGGGCAAAGGACTTACGTTGGGCAACCTTCCTGGGGTTGGTGGTAATTCATTCAACCTAACTTTTAGTTATGAATAGGGGGGCATTGTTCTCCCTCAAAAACATGTATTTCCATGAGTTTGACATCTTAGCATCCACTTGTACGCAATACTATTATTGTACAGCATCTCCTCTATGTATCAGAAGGGTTCTTTTCTCATTTATTTAATTAATTCATTTGGGTTTTTGTTGTGTTTTTGAGGTAGAATCTTGCTTTGTATCCCAGGCTGGCCTTGAACTCATGATCTTCCTGCCTCTGGCTGCCAGTTGCTGGAATTACAGGTGTGCAATACCATGCCTGGTTCTTTTATTTCTGGCTTCTTTTCTCATTTTCTACAAGAATATCTGTGCTTTATATCTCTGCATCTCCTTCCCCTCTTCCTTTCTTTCTTCCTCATTTACCTCCCTCTCTTTCATTTCCCTCTTTTTCTTTTTTCTTTCATTTCCTGCTTCCTTTTTTTCCTGTCCTTTCTTTTGCCATGAACTGAACAGATGTTTGCATGTTTTACTGCCCTTAATTCTAGAAGTATGCCCTTGACTTTATGGCTCAATATGTTTGCATCTCTATTTACTTCATTTACACTTTAGGATTCTATTTTCTTTAACAGTGTATGAGATTGTGTTTCTCCCTCACTCAACATAGCAAGGCAATATTGTTTTCTTTGATGCTAGAGATCAAATGCAGGGCTTTGCACATGCTAGGCAAGATCTCTGACACTGAGCTATAGTTCCAGCTCCTCCAAACTATTAGTATTGAAAAATAGAATTTACATGTGTAGTTTTTGAACATGACACATTCATCTTGATTCAGTTTCAATTTATGTGGCTATTAACAAAAGTGAACAATTTTGTGGTTATCAGAAAGGGTGTTATTGACTGTTTTTAATCCCTTGAGGCTGTTTTGCTGTTTGATATTGGGTTAGTCCATGGTTTACTATAGGTTTTATTTATTTATTTTTATCAAATAAATAAGAAGAAAAATATTCATGATTAAAGTTGAGGTTAATTAAATAGAAAACAAAATGAAATAGAAAGGTCCATAAAGACCAATGATGGTTCTTGAAAAAGATGAATAAAACTAGTGAACTTGTGATGATCACAAAAGCAGATATGTTCATATTGATTTATTTGAAAATTTATATGACATAAATTGCAAGAACAAGACAACTTACTATAACCAACCGAAGAGCAAGCAAGCTACCTGGTCATTGATAGTTTATTTTAAAATGATAAATTCATAATTTAAAGGCTTACAAAGAAATTCCAGGTGTATCATGGTTCACAGTGCATTTTCCCAAATATTTAAGGGAGAGACAATGGGAACCACACACAACATCCTTGAAATGATATGAGAATATGGAACAAGTCCCAACTTAATGTATAAAACTTCCATTACATAAATCTGGAAAGGATGTTTAAAAAGGAAAGAAAAATCACAGAACATGTTTAGGATGAAAGCACCTTCTAAGCATTTTACTTCTTGCTTTAGCTTGAGGATAAGTGTACAAGGCCACTGTGCATAAAGTTCTCCTGGATTAAGACTTCACGGTAACAAGGAATGTGAGACCCAAATATGTGAGTAGTGGCTACTGATATCTGATCCATTCTGTTAACATCTTGTAGATGGGGTTTTCCTCTCTTATTTTCCATACCCAGTACTATTTATTATTGTGTAAGAGACTTTTATTTTGACATAATCAGTATGTACAGAAAACTTGCAAGAACAATACACATGCCTATGTTTTTCCTTACCTAGATTCCCAATGTTAATGTTTTGGTACATTTAGTTTTCATTTATTTTTCCTTTTCAGCTTTCTCTTCCTCTTTCTCATTCTCTTTCTCCTTCTCTCCCTCCTCTCTCCTCCTCCTTCTTCTCTCAGTCTCACAATTTTTGGAACATTTTTCGAGGAAATGCATTGGACATATGATATGTTTTTATCTGTAATTTTTGTTGTTTTTTGCTTATACATTCAGTTCAAATTTAAATATTTATTACCATATGTTTATGACATGTACTAAATGGATATACATAGGGCTGCTACATACGCCTCACTCAATTGGATACTTTTTCCATTCCCTTTTCCTCTCTTCCTTCCCCTTCCCCCATCCCTTGATCCCCTTCCCATCTCCACAGAGTCTCTCCCACTAATTCCTAACATCTGCCTTTTATTTTGCTCTTTAAAATATTTTATCTACTTTTTAAATTTTTATTTTTTTATAATTTTATAAGTACATGTTTGCAGTATATATGAATTACATTTATTGTGGAGAGTTGATACATGTACATAATACCCTGTAATTCTTTTTTATTCCCTTCCTCTCTATCCTCACTCCCTCTCCCTTGGGCCCCTTCTCTTTTGCCAAAGAGCTATCTCCCTCTTTTTTAATATCTTTCCTTTTGCTCTTTATATATATTTTGGATTTCTCATACAAGAGAAATCATCCAATATTTAATCTTCAGTGTCTGCTTTATTTCACATAGCATTTTGGACTCCAAGTGTATTCATTAGTAGACAAAATGTCTTTCCTAAACACATGGACATTGTTTCATATAATCATAATACAATGGTCACAATCAGGAAATTAAAGTTAAAGTAATACTACTATTAAATTTATAGAACTCACTGGTATTTGAATGATTGTCCCATAATGTCATCCATGGCAAAATAAAGTCCCAAGTCATTCACTACATCAGATCACATTTTTTAGCCTTGTTTAATCTTAGCCTCTCTCTCTCTCTGTGTGTGTTTTTCTCCATCACTCTCTCTGCAGTGATAGGTACTGAATCCAGTCTTCTGCATGCCAAGCAAGCACTCTACCAATAAGCTACACTTCAGCCTCATTTCCATTTCCTACACTTTGCATTGACAGCTGTGAATTTCTAAGGGTACAAGTCAAAAAATGTGTAGAATGCCCCTCACTTTTAGTTCGTCTGAAATCTTCTCCACTTTATTTCTTTATTTTTATTATTTTTATCAATATGTTTGCAGTATATAATCATTATATTATTTGTGGGGAGTATATGCATGTAAATAACACAGCTTAATTCATTTCTGTCCCTTTACTCTCCCAATTCCTTCCTGCACCCTCCAAATATTATTCCCCTTGCAAATGCAATAGAGCATTGCAAAAGTTCCATTTCATTTTTTTCTTCAATTCTTTATTTCATGCCTTTTCCCTTTTTCTTTCACTCCTCCCTCAATCTCATGTTTTACTTCTCATTTGAAAAAAACCCCACCTCTTTACTTCCTAGTATCTATCTTTTATTTTGCTCTTTATTTATATTTTGGGTTTCTCATATGAGAGAAATCATGCATTATTTAAACTTGTGCATGTGACTTATTTCATTTAACATTATGGTTTCCAGGTATATCCATTTACCTATGAATGCCTCAAGTTCATTGTTCTTTATGGCAAAGTAATAATCCATTGTGTATACATTTTATTTATATATTATTCTTCACTTTAGAGTGAACTCCTTTATCTTTGACAGGAATCCCCGAGAAAGTATACTTTGGCCATTTCAGTGAATCCAACAGAAAGAACAAGATGTTAAATTGTCCTATCACTGAATCTCTATGTCAGCCAAATTTTTTAAAAACTGGATGCTTCAGATAGGAGTTGGAAATAGCCAGTCCATTTTCAAGGATTCCCTCTTGTTTTGACTGTTATAAAATTGGTTAACAAGCTGAGCTGTTGGGATGAGGAGACTGCTTCTTAAGAATTCAATTTATGAGTGAAAGGCAATCTACCATTTAAGCAAGGTAACTGACTTCATAAGCAACTTGAGCGACAAGTGTGGACACTTCTGTTATATGGAGGACATTCATTTATTGTGATTGATTATCTGGTCTCTTCTTTTATAGATACATCTGTTATATGGAAGCAGGAAACCAAACACGACTTTTGGAATTCATCCTCCTTGGGCTTTCAGAGGATCCAGAGCTACAGCCCATTCTCTTTGCACTCTTCCTTTCCATGTACCTGGTCACAGTGCTCGGGAACCTGCTCATCATCATGACCATCAGCTCTGACTCCCACCTCCACACCCCCATGTACTTTTTCCTCTCCCACCTGTCCTTTGTTGACATCTGCTTCAGCTCCACTACAGTGCCCAAGATGCTGGTGAACATCCATACAAAGAACAAAACCATCTCCTACTTGGACTGTCTCATTCAGATATATTTTTCCATGAATTTCCTATCCTGGAAACTCTACTCCTAACTGTGATGGCCTATGACCATTTTGTGGCTATCTGTCACCCACTGCATTACATGCTCATAATGAATCCCCGCCTTTGTGGCCTGCTGATTTTAATTACTTGGTTTATTGGCATCATGATATCTCTCCTCCATGTTTCTCTGATGATGGATCTCACTTTCTGTAAAGATCTTGAAATTCCACATTTGTTCTGTGAGCTGACCCTTATTCTCAAGTTGGCCTGCTCTGACATTTTCTTTAATAACACATTGATCTACATCATGACTGGTGTGCTGGGTGTTTACCCATCATTGGGATCCTTTCCTCCTACTCACAAATTCTCTCATCCTTAAGGAAGATGTCTTCATGTAAGGGAAAGCAAAAGGCATTTTCCACCTGTGGGTCTCACTTGTTGGTAGTGTCTTTATTTTATGGTACTGGTGTTGGGGTCCACTTCACTTCTGCAGTCATCCGCTCCTCCCAGCAAGTCTCAGTGGTCTCTGTGATGTATACCGTGGTTACCCCAATGCTCAACCCCTTCATCTACAGCCTGAGGAATAAGGATGTGAAGGAGGCCCTGGGCAGACTCCTGGGCAGAGCATCCTCTTGTCTGTGATGTGTCCATTGGCCTTATAGCAAGAAATCTTATGTTTATTAAAGGTAGTCAGTAAGAGGAAAGAAAGAAAGAAGAAAGAAAGAAAGAAAGAAAGAAAGAAAGAAAGAAAGAAAGAAAGAAAGAAGAGTATTCTGAAATTTTTATCTCTGAATCTCTTAAGCCATTTTGTTCTTTCACTTAATGCTGGAGGGTCTACAATTTTGCCCTTCTGAATTTTATATACTGTTCAGGAACTCGTTTCCTAGTAATGCCTCTGATGGCATCTCAACCCTAGCCCTATTCAAAATTTGCACCTTTTATCATCTGTTTAACTTCCACACTGGTGAAATTTAAACTTTAACTTGAAGCATTTACTATTGCATTGTTACCTCCAGTGTTG